CCCATGCCTTCGTTGAAGCTGGGCTTTCTGATAAACAGCACTGTTCTGTACATGGCTCCTACAGCACTTGGGACATACATATGGAAAGGGTCTGCTGTTTATCTCAAGTCCAGACCTAACTGGACACACTGGGCAGCTGTGGGCTAACTGGCTCCTGGGCAGGCAGGAAGTTCAGGAGGTGTGTCCACCGCCCTTGCCTTCTCTGGAGTGGCCTGGTCCTCAGAGGCTTGCACGCAATTGTGGTGACACCTAGTGACCAACCTGGGAAGCTTTGGTGGGGAGGGGAGATGAGGGGAGGGGAGCAGGGCATGGAGGCAGGTGGGACAGGCTTTAGGGACCACAGGCCTCCATCCCAGAGACCTTGGGGCTCCAGGCCTGGGACGCAGGCCAGCCTTTGTTAGATACCACCTGTGTGCCAGTGGCTGTCACTCACTCAGCCCTGTTTGTAATTCAGCCTCACGGCAGCAGGAGGCCAGAGAACAAGAACAACATTTTTGTCTGTCGTGGGGCTTGAACCCTGGGCCTGGGCGCTGTCCCTCAGCTCTTCAGCTCAAGGCAAGTGCTCTACCTCTTGAGCCACAGTGCCACTTCCGGTTTTCTGGTGGCTCTATTCCAGGCACACTGACGGCTCCCCAGGAAGCAGGTGGGTCCAGGAGACTAACCTGCTCACCTACAAGGGAAGGGGTGTGGGGACCTGGCTCTGCGCCAGGCCTGAGGCGTGGCACAGGCCTCGGGTTCTAGGGAGCCCCACTGCATCACCCCAATTGCAATGAGACAGAGTCAAAGCCCCGGAACCCTGGAGAAGCTGGTACTGGAGATGGGCTCGGCCACCCTGCCCTCTCCCCATGTCCAGCCCAGCCCCCGCAGCTGCCCCTGTGCGCGTCTCCCCTAGCAGGGCCTTTCTGGTATTTTCATCCATCCTTCTCTAAGCCCACATGAGCTGCGCATGCTTTTCCCGTCCCAGCTTGCATAGCCAGCAGGGTCTGAGCTGCCCAAGATAGAGCCTCACCCTGCTCCAGAGGCTCAAACCCAGGGCGCTGCTTCCAGACTCATTTTTGCTCAAGACGAGTGTTCTGCCACTTTGAGTCACAACTCCACTTCTGATTTCCTGGTGATTCATTGGACATAAGAGTCTCATGGACTTTCCTGCCCCAGCTGGCTTCGAGCTGTGATCCTCAGATCTCAGCCTCTTGAGTGAGTAGCTAAAGCTTGAGCCTTTTACCCAGCTTTCTAGTATTTCATTGAGGAGGAAAAGGAGGGGAAATTCTTCCTCCTGAGTTGGAGGTGGGAGGGGAAACAGAACACTTGTTCTCTGCTCATGTTCTGTTTTCCTGGCCCGCATCCCTTCCTGTCCCTTTCTGCATTTGAGGGACGTGGATTTGGAATGTGACATATCGGTGAAGTTGTCATAGCAACAGCCCTAAGGAGGCCCACCTGGCTGTCCTGCTGGCCACCGTGCGAGGGGGACTGGGCCCACTGGTGGGCAGAGGAAGCACAATTGTTTTGCTGTATGTGTGCCTGGGCCATCTCCAAAAATGAAGGGGGTCATTTGAGGAAACAGAAGTGAGCTACAGGGCCTGTCCCCAAGAGGAGATGGGGCCTGGGGCAGGGCTGTGGAGGGAGACAGTCTGGGGAGAGCGCAGGGCCCAGGCCAGGCCAGCCTGGCTGGCACCCGGGCTTGACCATGGCGCTCCTCCAGCGTGTGGTTAGTATAGATAGGAGTGCAGTCAGGCTGGGGCCCACACAGCACCATCCAGGGAAGAGGAAGGGGAAGAGGCTCTGACAGGAAGTCCAACCCAGCCACTGGCACCCAAGCCTGTCCTCCCACCTGCTTCCCTGGGGTCACGTGACATGACTGGTCAGTCTCTAGCCTGCAGCCCCCTGCCTCTCTAGAACACCCTCACAGGGCACCCCCACCCCTCTGTGCCTCCTCCTGCTGGGGTGAAGTCCCACCCTGCCCTGTGTTCTCCTTCCCCCACCCTGGGAAGAGGCTGTGTGTGTGTGGCTGTGCCATGCAGAGGCAGACTGGGGCCATCCGCTTGTACCCAGGTGGACGCAGGGCTCAGAAGTGACATGAGCTGCCCCAGTCACACAGCACCTGGCAGAGCTGGCGGTTACAGCGGCCAGTGCCAACTCCTGTGCTCAGCTCGGCCCTGAGGAGACGCTCAGGTCCAGTGTGCAGAATGTAAGTGGATTTGCAGCGATTGGATGGGATTAGATTCCACCGGGCAGGCTGCCCAGCCTGGCCGGCACCAGACTGGAGAGCGGGACTTGTCGGGGAACAACTGTGCCATCTCGACGCCCCTCTGGGAGGGAAGACAGGTGGGCTTTCTCGGCATTCGTGGCTCACCACACCCTCCCAAGTGAGGGAGACGTGGACTGTCTGAACAGGGAGCTGGGAGCTGGACATGAGGCTCACCACTGCTCACGCACGTTGAGACGGGGCTGGAGCCCTAGGACAGGTGGAACAGCTCCAGTCTGGAGCCCAGGCCACTCCAGGACAGAAGTGGTTGGTACCTAGCACCTCGCTCTCCTCACAGCTAAGGCAGCGGGCACCAGTGGGGCTTCCTCTGAGCCTGGGGGCAGAATGGGGCTGCCCGGGGGCAGGTTGCTAAGAGCAGGAAGCCAGCTTGTCCTTTCTAGAAGTGGGATTTCTGAGGTGGCTACAAGGGCCCCAGGACCCCCTGGAGGTCTGAACCCCAAGGCGGGTGAGATGCTCAGATGCTCTAGGGACTCTTGGAGTCTTTGAGTTGGTGGAGGGAGCAGCTCATCCACCATATGTGTGTAATACGTGATTTCTCAGAGCCTTCAACAAGTGTGTCATGAATTGTCCACACCAGATATCGCAGTACTACACAGGGCCAGGAGGCCATGGGGAGGCTTCCAAACTCCCTACCATACTCCTGAAAGTAACAGACAACACCGCTCTTAGGATTGGCTTTATTCCCTCTTTCCTTCCCTTCCCTCCCCTCCTTTCTGACTGTTTTCTCCACTGGTTCTTCTTTTCTTTCCCTCAGCTGCCGTTTGCTGAGCCCCCACCCTGTGCCTGGCCCTGTGCTGGGAACCTGCGATATAAAGCAGAGCCCAGGTCTCTCCTACACAATGAAGATAAAGCTCAGCTCTTGGCTCACAGGCCCGGGCCTACCCAGCCTGGCTGCCAGCAGGCATTCCTTCTTCTTGGTCTAGAAAATCATTTCTGGTTCAAAATAATATATACATATTTATATTTATGTTCACATATAATACTTTTTGTTGTTGTTGTTGTCGGTCGTGGGGCTTGAACTCTGGGCCTGGGCGCTGTCTCCCTCAGCTCAAGGCAAGCGCTCTACCTCTTGAACCACAATGCCACTTCCGGTTTTCAGGTGGTTCACTGAAGATAAGAGTCTCACAGACTTTCCTGCCTGGGCTGGCTTTGAACTGTGATCCTTAGATCTCAGCCTCCTAAGCAGCTAGGATGACAGGCGTGAGCCACCGGCTCCTGACTGTAATACATTTTTAATTGTTAAATTACTTTCTAGTACAACAGATGTCAGTAGCTGTAACTGAATACATCAGAGCTTGAAAATGATCAGAGACGCCCCATAGCTGGCCCTGCCCACCTCCAGCACCATCCCTGCCTTCTGTGCGAGACAGCTGGGAGGCAGATGCAGGGGCCAGGGGAGCCTGGATTAGAACTCATGAGCAGAGGACACAAGGGCTGAGAGAGCCTGAGTGAAGAGGCTGGGCCCAGGCCCTCAGCACCACCTTGGGTGGGAGGAGGGCGGGGAAGTGGGGGTCCTTCTCTCCCCATGGTGCTGAGAGGACAGGGCTAGGCACCTTCAGGACCAGCTGATGGCAGACCGGCTCTGGGCTCACCCTTCCCGGCTGCGCCACATGGCTGCTGAGTGTCACATAGACGTTGATGGTCTTGATTACCCCCAAATTATCCTTTGCCCACAAAAACCCCAGGTGACCTCTTGGCTCACAGTTGAAGTCTAGATGCTTAAAGGAAAGATCACTAGACAGCAAGTCCACAACAAGGGTGAAGATGGGGTGATTGCTAAACCTGGTGCTCTGTAGTCCAAGGCCCGGGGTCCCAGGGCTCCTCCGGAACAAGCTGATGGGTAATGCTGGTTAGCAGGGTTTCTCAGAAATGGTGAGGTGTGGGACTGGAAATGGAAACTCAATCTCCAGTCTTCAGTTTTCGCAAGGCTGAGCTACACAGAGCCTGCGGGCTCTAGCCAGCGGGGGAAGGAAGCACAGATCTGCTTACTGCATCGATCTGGGCCGGCCTGGGGACATTAAGGCAGCTCAGGAGATGCCAGGGGCTGGGCAGAACTGATGGAGCCTGAGACAGACCACGAGTTCATTTACAGGAAGCCAGAGAGGGCGTCCCAGGAAGGCGATGCTGGGGTGCGGGGGACCCCGTGAGGCCCCCCCCATGTTGTGCTCACCACCCACAGATTCCCTGCCCTCTCCGGGGCTGACCCGCCCTCTCCAGGGGTTCCAGAGCTGCTGTGGCAGACAGCGGCTCTTCCCTTTCATCTGCTTATGGCCTCTTGATGGACTCATGACCTACCACCTCTCACTTGACCCTTGACCTCATAAATTCTGGAAACTCCTCACAAATCACCAGGAAGATAAACATCAACTGGGTCACCGGAAGGAGGTCTGGGCCACTGGCTGGGCGGTGGAGGAGGGAAGCGCCCTGGAGCCCTGGTGATGGATGAAGACAGGGCCAGGTGACCCTGGCTGAGGGCAGCTCCACAGACCTGGGCGGTAACCCAGCCCCAGGCAGGCACCTGGCCTCTGCGGGCCCCTGTCATGTCTGGCGCAGCTCATGGCAGGGAGGGGGCGCAGACCGGTTCCCCAGTGGCCTGGATCTGCACGCAGGAGCACGTTGTGGGGGAAGGAGGGGGTATGCACCACCTGAGTGGTTTACCTTGGTGCTGGCTCACCAGCTAGCTAGCCCTTCACAGCCCAACGCGCTCTGACCTCCTCCTGTCTGTCTCTCTTCCCAGAGGGGATGAACTGCATGAACAAAGATCATGGCTGCGCCCACATCTGCCGTGAGACGCCCAAAGGTGGAGTGGCCTGCGACTGTAGGCCCGGCTTTGACCTTGCCCCAAACCAGAAGGACTGCACACGTAGGTAGATGGAGGTGCATGGGCCAGACACTCCCATGCGCCTCCCACCATTGCTGTGTGGATGGGGGGACCTGGGCCAGGCTGGGGGATGGGGGCTTGAGGCAGACACAGACCCCTGGTTCACCTGGAAGCCCTCAGTAATGGGAAAGAAGCAAAGGAGGGCAGTTCCATCCTGGGCGGTGGCTGGTCCTGTTTCCAGGATCAAGGATCAGAACCAGTGCCCCTCACACACACACTCAGGGGGCTGAGAACAGTGAGCCTCAGGAAACCCCTGGCCAGAGGAGCCATTTCAGACCCCACTGGAGGCCTCCCCGGGGCCTGATGCAACCCCAGCCTCCTAATATGGGGCAGGAGCTGAACCAGGAAATGGAGGACAGGCTGGACACCCCAAGCTCTGAACCTGGCGCACAGCTGCCTGGGGAGGCTGTGGCATGTGAAATCCTCACGGGGAGAAGGGACACACAGACCCACACGCTCCGGGGTGACGGCAGGCTTGCCCTGGGTCTGCCACGAACTGAGGGAGACACTTGCCATATGATGCAGAAAAAAAAATAGGACCAAGGAGCCTGGTCTGATGCTCCCTAGAGAAGCTCCTTGCCTGAGCTGAGGAGAGAGACAGGCTGCCTGCAGGGCAGACGTGCCCTCTGCTCCTCCCTCATCCTGTCGGGAGGGCGGGGCCCGGCTGGCCCGCCATCCCGACCCTGCCACGTGACCCTGCCACGGTCACCAGGTCTCTGCAGGGGGGGGGGGGGCTTGCCACACTTTCCCAACCCAGGCTTGTTTGAAAGTCTCCAGGCCTGGGCACCCACCCACACGGGCCTCACACTCTCTGCCTCCATTAACTCCTGCTCTAGCCCTCGGTGTGATCAATTTGTTCCCCAAGGTGGAGGGCCTTCCTTCTACCCTCCCCGTTTACTCCTGGCTCTTTTCCGTGGGCCAGCAAGAGCGAGCATAGGTGCATCACCAAAGCAAAACCAACAGGGCCAGACTGGGGCTCCGGCCTGGCTCTGCCTCCAGCCACCATCAGAGCAGAAGACCTAGCTCCTGCTCTGTCAGGCCTCCTGCAGGGTGACCTAGCTGTCCCCATGAGAAAACCCAGGGCAAGAGCACACACAGCAAGCAGGCCAGCAGGCCCTTCATTGGAAGCCAGGGTAAAGCCAGGAGTGGTGGTGCGTACCCGTCATCCTAGCGACTTGACAGGCTGAGATCAGAAGGATCTCATTTCGAAGCCAGCTGAACAAAAAGGGTGTAAGACTCCTTCATCTCAACCAGTAAAGCACTGAGTGTGGTGGCACACTCCTGTCATCCCAGCTATGGTGGGAGGCCCAAATGTGAGAACGTGGGGGAGAATCACAGCCAGGCTGGCCTAGGCAAAAAGTGAGACCCTATCACAAACATAACTGGAGCATGGATCAAGTGGTAGAGTGCCTGCCTATCGCAAGGCTCTGAATTCAAATACTACAGGTACTACAAAAAAAAGAAAAGGACACAAGAATGAAAGGAAGGGAAAGAATGAGTGCGAGGGGAAAGGAAAGGAAGGGAAAGAAGGGAGGGAGGGATGACACTGAGCCACTTGATCCTGAACTGGGCTCAGGAAAGAGGACAGACACCCCGACTGGGACAGGTACCACAAAGGGAACAGTTTTCCCAGCCGGGGGGGGGGGGGCGGGGTCAGGGATGAGACAGAGGCTGAGCAGCTAAGACCTTCCATCTTCAGGTCTAGGAACATTTGCTGGTTCAAGGATTCACAGGATTCACTCTGATTGCCAGGGTGCCGCATGCTCGATATGATTTCCAGGCCTGAGGAGTAGGTGACCGCACTGTGGCCCCATGGGCAGAGGCTGCCCAGCCCACCCAGCTCTGGCTCCTCCTGTGTGGTTTATGAAGGCAGCTTGGGGGCCTTCACCGAAGCCTGTGAGGTGACCTGAGGGATAGGAGCTGCTGGCTCTTGAGTTGAGCCCAGGCTGAGGCAGCCTGGGACAGACCAGGCAGAGAGCGGGCGGGCAAGGCTCTGCACCAGACTCCCCTAGCCCTTCAGAGCCAAGGAGCCACTCCAGAGGCAAGGCTAGAGCTCCATCCTTCCAGGTCTTTCCGGAGCTGGGGGTGTAAGCTGGAGGCTCAACCTCTGGGGGTCTGAGATGTTCACACTCCTGTGTGGAAGGGTCTGCCCTGGTCATGTCACGCTGTTTCTCCAGTGCCTCACACTGCTGCACCTGTGCCCACCCTGAAGGGGACGCCCAGGCCCAGAATAGCACGTGGTGCCCAGCTCAGGGTGGGCTCTCCCTGGGACACACACACACACACACACACACACACCTGTGCAGGCCTGTGGCTCCTGAACCCTTGGCTTCCCAAGATCTCTTCCTACCAGAGACAGAAACTGTCTCAGAGAGAAGCCAGATCAGAAGTACCCACACACACCCAGGGCTGAGAGAGAGAGGGTCACTCCTGCAGAGAAGGGACGGGCTCTGAGCTGGGGCAGCTGTTCTGGCTCCCGACTCATGTGGTAGGAGGGCCCTGAATTGGTGCTGGAAGCTGAGTCTTAAGGCTGCCCAGGAAAGCCCCCGGGACCCCAGAGACCCCTGTCCCTGACAGGCAACATCTTCCTCGGATCCACACTTTTGTGGAAACTGCATGTATCTGAGACCTAGGGGCCACCCACTCCAAGGCCAGGGGAGCCCATGGGGCTCTTGTGAAAGGCACAGCTCATGACACTTGTGCTGCAGGAGTCATTCTGGAACATTCAGAGCCCTTCCCAGGGAGTGGCCACCCACAGCTTCCCTCTGCCGTTCATCAGCCATGCCTGTGGGTCAGTCCAGTAGGATGTGATTCGTCCAAACCCCGGGAGTTGGGAATTTGGGGGCCCTCTGATCAGGGTTGGTCTGATGCTTTTGCATATTGGGTTGTCATGATCAGGAACAGGAGGAATACACACACAAGGCTTCCCAGGCAGCAGGCTTCCTCCCAGGTGGCAGATGTCAAAAAGCAGGGGTTCCCAAGGCCCCTCCCAGAGAGCTCCTGCATCTCCTGCTTCTCCTGTAGCCGTTTCTGTCACCCTGCGAAGTGATAATGTTGCTTCCTTTAAATACGTTTCCCACTGGGCACTGGCTAAAGCTCCACTTCCTTTTCAGCAGGCCTGGACTTCTGTCAGTATGGAACATCTGAGCTGGGTGGTTCTGGGCCAAAGGGCACCAGATCGTCTGGGCACGGGGCGACACCAAAGGCCTTTTGCAAGCAGCGCACTGCACATTAACTTGTCTGTCTGAACACCCTCAGCTCTGGGGAGAGGATCAGTCTTAAGATAGCCCGTCCCTGGGGCCCACGGAGGATGAACAGCCATAGACAGCCCTCCACGTGTCCTGAGACACAGGCGGAGGACAGAACTCTGCGGGAACTAAGTGTTCCCTTGGCCATGGTTGCCAGTCTCCCCCGTAACTTGTCCAGAACTCCATACCTGGTGTCTGCAGACATTTGCCTATTGAGACAGACAGTACTGTAGTGTCTTGCAAGGTGAGAAGGGCAAAACTGTTCCCCACCATCCAGGGGAGTCAGCTGCGTGAGGCTCTGTGGAAAGGCAGGCATCCCTGAGCCCATTCGCGGCCTCCAGGGACAAGGGATTCCATCAGACTCTGGGGGGATGGAGGGCAGGAAGTGTGTCTACTGATGAGAAGCCTCGGCAAGCCACTCGCTGGCTACCTCAGACCCCTGCCTTCCTCCTCCAGCCCCCAAAGAAACAACCGGTGCTGGCACACTAACCCTCTCCGTTGTTATTCTGTTTATACACACGCTGTGTGCTTTGGACCTAACTAGTAACCTGTAACTATGGGAACGGAGGCTGCCAGCACAGCTGTGAGGACACAGACACGGGCCCCGTGTGCGGCTGCCACCAGAAGTACGCCCTCCATGCCGACGGTCGGACGTGCATTGGTAAGTCGGTGCCGCTGTCTACCACCTTTCACCGTCCCCTTGGGTGCCCTGTGTCCCCATGTTCTAGAGGAAGCGGAAGGGAAACAGAAGCCACCCAGTGGTGATGGGCAGGTGGCTTTTGTGGAGAGTTCATCCTGGGTCCTGCGGCCCTTTGGGGCCATGTGTCCAGGAGCACCTGACTCAGACCTTCCTAGTGGGGTGTCTGTCTGGCATTCTCGTCCACGCAGGCTGCTGTGGTGGGGGGTGGGGTCCCTGTATCTCGGAGGGGCAGCAGCAGGGCCTGGAGCACAGGTATTTCTGTGTGACTATCCTTAACTGTGTGCGCTGCTCACTGCAGTCTGGAGTTCCAGAGCTTTCCTCTGTACAGGGAACAGGGGGTGCATCTCGTGCGGGGTGTGGGCGCTTTTGACTTGATTTCATGCCAGGCCCACCTGGCTCTCAAGGGACTCCACCCTGCCCCCTCCCTACCTCGCCGAGTCCCCGCTTGAGCCTCAGCCCCCTCCCTCTTCCGGGCCCATGCTCCCAAGGAGAAGTTGAATTTTTGCTTATTATTTCATGCCATCATCATTAGTAGTGGGGTTTTTTTTTTTTCCTCCAACTGAAAAATAACAGATTTTACTTTTTAACTGAGAAAAAGAGGACTTTCAGAGCTGGCCCCAGCGGCAGGCTGCTGCTTCCACGCTTGGCCACTTTGGACCACATGAGGTTGCTCTTTTCTGTAAAGGCCCCACTTCTTACTGTCAACTGGGGAGGTGACCAGAAGCGGGGCAGGGGGGGCGGCCAGGGGGGCTGAGCACGCAGAAGCCAGTGAGGCCCAGAGCCGCTGTGACACTCGTCCCCTGTGAGTGTCCCCGGCGTCTCAGAGCTGGGTGCGGAGCACGGAGGGGCCCCCGGGCCGTCCCCTCGGTCGGCAGAGCCTCCGTCCCGGACGCGGCGGTCTGCACTGGGTCTCCCTTCCTCGGTGTGGCCTCTTCTCAGACAGCCTTTTTTTTTTTTTTAATTTCATTTATATCTATTTCTCCTGCTTTTCTGGTGATGGTCCCTGATTGCCTGTCTTGTCTGATAACTGATGTACATCAACCATTTTCAGAGCCAAAAGCCAAAACCAAACCAACCAATCAGGAAAAAAAAAAAAGTAATTAAAAGCCAAACCAGGTCTGAGACCAGTGTCTCTATTGCAGCCTGATCCCATCTAGAACCTCCTGTCCTCCAGCCTGTCCCTCCACTGTCCTGCTTGGGTCCTCCTGGGTGACCCTGGCTCCCTCCTGTCTGATCTCTGGGGGATTGGCTGCTGCTGCTGGACCAGTGCACCGCTGGGCAGAAGCACCCCAGCCTGCGGCTAACACCTCTTGTCTGTGTCTTCTCACTCATTGTAGTAGTAGTATTTCATTTAATGTCTGCTGCATGTGACCGGCCCTGCTTAGATCTAACTTCCTGAACTTTCCCTCCTTTCCCATTAGAAGCCATTTTCCTGCCTTAGCTCCCCCCACTGTGGCTTCCACTCCCAGCCAGGATGAAAAATCTTTCATCTGTGCTCGCTCACTGTCATCGATCACCCCTCCTCCCCCCACCCCTGCCAGCAACAGTGTCTCCGCACAAGAAACTCCAGCCAGCCTTCCTGCGCCCCAGGGGAGACCTGGCACAGCGGCCCGCTGGGCTGCCAGACCCCCGCCCCCGGCTGGAGGGGCCCCCATCTCTTTCCCTGCACACTCCTAAAACGACTGACTCCTCTCTGGTCCTCTAGACAACAGGCAACCAGCGCTGCCCAATCCATCCCCTGGCCTCTCTCATCTGTCCGTCCGGTGGGATCCATTGTTCCGTCTGTGCGTGTGTCTGTGTTCCTCTGTGTGTTTAATTTTGCATGAGTGACACTCTCTTTTCACGCCCCTTTGTGCGGGGCCTCTGGTGTCCCGGGTTCCTCCATCACCTGACCCCAGCCCTGTCTCCTTGTGCTGTGCTTTGTCCTGTGCCTGCCTGCGCAGTGGGGTCTGTAGCCGCTTGTCTCCCTGTGGTGTGCTGTCTGCCTCTCCAGCCTCCACCTGAGGCCTCCCCTGTGTGTCCACGTGGGCCTGTGTCCCTCTGTGTGGGTGTCATGGCCACCCCTCCTTATCTGCACGCCGCCTCCCGCCCTTGCTGGCCTCCTCACCGCCCCGAGCGAGCGAGCGAGCGAGCAAGCGAGCAAGCAAGCAGGTACACCTACCTGGAGGTTCCTGGGACTAGCCCTTGGCCGGGACGCCCGACGTGCTGGCCTGGCATGCGTGTTAGCTGTGTGTGCGCCACGCCGAGAGGCTGACTGTCTTGGGCCGCGGGAAGTGGGCTCTCATTAACCACTGGCTCCATGTTTGTCCCTTACTTGTGTTCTAGACAAGGATGAGGCTGCAATTGAGCGCTCGCAGTTCAATGCCACGTCAGTAGCTGATGTGGACAAGCGGGTGAAACGGCGGCTCCTCATGGGTAACACTTTTCTTCCACTTCCTTTGTCCTCCTTGCCCGTGTGTGTGTGTGTGTGTGAGTGAATGCGCACACGTGTGTGCATAGGGGCTGCTAGTGTTTGCTGCGTGGGTGTGGAGTGGGGACTGTATGAATGCTCAGCCAAGTGTGGGTTGTGTGCGCGCAGGAGGTTCCACCACAGACAGGAGCTCACTTTTTCCTTGAAATTTGTACAGTCCATCGAACACGTTTGTTTCTTTGTGTGTTTGTAGCAGAGACCCCCAACACCCATGTCGAATGGGCTGAGCGTGTCAGGAGCCTCCTGCACCCACAGTAAACACCATGTGCGTGGTTAGGGCAGCCCTGGGAGCCACAACGCCACGCTGAGCCGCCGCAGGGTGTGGCCAAGCAGGCCGCAGGGTAGAAGCGGCTCCGAGCAGCTTGGTGCTTATTCTCACGGGAAAGGCCCCTAGATCTCAGGGCTTGGGGGGTGGGGGGGAAGGGCTGTGGCAGGCTGGGCTGCATATGGGCCAGTGGGAAGAGGAAGAGGGGACCGTGTCCACCCACGACAGTGTAACAGCGTGGCTGAGGACCTGCACCCCTCATTGCTTCCAGCCCTCCTCTGTCTGCTGCTGTCTGCCCCACAGTTCTGGGGCACTGACCTCAGGCAGTCACCGTCAGCTTGGTGACATTATAATGGCTTGCCAAAGTCACCCAGAGGCCCTGGCCCTTAGACTGTCCCCAGGGTGCAAGCCAGTGTCCTGAGGTCAGAGCTTAAAGGTCACGGAGAAGCCACTTAGCTCTGAAGCCCTGGTGTGGAGCCACCGCTCCAGTGTTCCCCGGTACTTGGCAGTTGTCTTGGCATGTGGTAAAGCAGGGTGCTGCGGGACTTGAGACCCCAACTGGCAGGCCGGCTCCCTCAACTCTGAGCATGGCAGTTACCAGGCTAGATCAGTAGATGCAGGGTCATGGGGTTACCTGTCCAGCCTGTCAAGGCTCATAACATGGAAGCCAGGCTCCACCCAGAAAAAAGCCAAGACTGCAGGGGGTCAGAATGGGGTCAGCCTTCCTGGTTCACACTGCCAGCATTGGCTCTGAGAGGAAGCACCAGCCTACTTCCTAGAGATTGGGAGGAGGGGGGCTGTGGGCAGTGTCTGGAGCCCTCCAGGTTACATCCTGGAATGGGAGGAGGGACCGGACGGGCAGAGGGCACAACCCAGCCACAGCTGAGACACAGGACCAGCTCCCCAGCACAGGGTTGAGATGAGGGCCCAGTGTGGGAGAAGACAGGGAGCCCAGGGGCTCCTCCTGTGCCAAGACGGCTTTGCAGGATCCTTCCAGCCCCGCCTCCCCCCCCAAACCATTTGTCAGTGGGGTTTTAGTTTCAGAGTGAAAGGGAAAGATGGAGAAAGAGGCCCACAGTCTTCTGGGAAGTGGGTGGGCGGGGCCTCTGTGACACCCACTGGGAAGTGGGTGGGCGGGGCCTCTGTGGTACCAGCTGGGAAGCGGGTGGGCGGGGCCTCTGTGTACCCGCTGGGAAGTAAGTGGGCGGGGCCTCTGTGTACCCGCTGGGAAGTAGGTGGGCGGGGCCTCTGTAGCACCCACTGGGAAGTGGGTGGGCGGGGCCTCTGTGGTACCCACTGGGAAGTGGGTGGGCGGGGCCTCTGTGGTACCCGCTGGGAAGTAGGTGGGCGGGGCCTCTGTGGAACCCGCTGGGAAGTAGGTGGGCGGGGCCTCTGTGGAACCCGCTGGGAAGTGGGTGGGTGGGGCCTCTGTGGCACCCACTGAAAAGTGGATGGGCGGGGCCTCTGGTACCCACTGGGAAGTGGGTGGGCGGGGCCTCTGTGTGCCCGCTGGGAAGTAGGTGGGTGGGGCCTCTGTGACACCCACTGGGAAGCGGGTGGGCGGGGCCTCTATGGTACCCGCTGGGAAGTGGGTGGGCGGGGCCTCTGTGGAACCCGCTGGGAAGTGGGTGGGCGGGGCCTCTGTGGTACCCACTGGGAAGTGGGTGGGCGGGGCCTCTGTGGTACCTGCTGGGAAGCGGGTGGGCGGGGCCTCTGTG